AAATTCATCATTGCGTCCACTTTCCATTCCAGAAATTTCTTTCCAGATAAATCTAAGATGCTGAACTGTCTTTTCATAAGGTCTCCCATTTTAGCTACAACAAATTTCGTGATAATTAGATTATAATAACAAATTATATGTACAACTCACATGTTTAGTTCTTCCATATTTATATTTAAGTTAATAAGACACGTGATAATTAAATTTAATAATAATAAACCATAAGTAATATAGTCTTTTCTCCCCCTTGGTTTATTATTGTGAGTAATTATATGATTAGACAAAAATTAATCATGTTAGTTGCAAAAAAAACAGCAAAACGACAACAATGACAGTAGTAACAATAGTTATAATGATAACGGTAATATTATACAATGATGATTAATAACAACAAACATACATAATAAAACAAAAACAAGCTTTTAATATACTAAAATGACAAAATAAGTGACTTTTACTTATACATAATGACAAAAATTAATATTGCTACTAATAAAATTACAAGCGCCGTAATTAGAAGGAAATATTGTTTTATCTTCATTAAATCTTCCTCAAAAGTGAAGTTTTGGGTGTTTTGGTTGCCGTCGTCGGGGAACATATCGGAGAAGAAGGGGGTGAATTTTTTTTTTTTTTTAGGTGATTTTTGGATAAAAAGTGGGAAGAGATAAAGGATTTGTGGTGAAATTGGGGGAAAAATCCGTCTTTTATAGAGGTAGGTTTATCCGTTACTGTTCTATACAACTATAAAAATATCATATAACAATCTAATATACTGACAAAAATTATGGTCTAAATATATATATTTATAATTGTAAAAGGTTATCACACTGGGAATGCAAGCCATAGTGGTCCGAGAGCCCTAATATCTATAAAAGATCATGGGTTCGAAAACGGAAAGAAACACAAAAAGTATGTAAAAGTAAGAAAAATAATAAGTATAAAAAGGCTGCATCTTTTTATTAATCTAGTTAATAATAATATGCATGCAAAGCTACTACTTAGCAATTATAATAACTAAGATAAAAATTTACGTAAAATGAGTATGTAATATCAACATGGATCAAACAAAGAAATATCAACATGAATAAACAAAAGAGAACTTTCACCGTTGTTTTAGAGGTATATATAATACAGTAAATGTTTGAGTTTCTGGTATAGAGGATCCCAAATATGGGCAACTATAGAGCATGCTCCTCGAAATATTTAGAAGTAGATAGTATTATTTGTTATAAATTTTTAGAAGTAGGTATAAATATACCTGACTGAAAACTGGTGCTGATAACGTGTTAAAAATATTTTACTGATGGTAAGATATTTATCAGTGAAGGGATGAAGATAGGAAGTAAGTAGTAGAATGGTAGGAAAACTCTTTTCTTGTTTTTTCAACTTAAGTTCACAATACGTGAACTTTCATTTATATAGCCAAAATAATTGAATACAATAATATACATTATTGTACTTTATACAAATTATTGTACTTAGTAAAGTCTTCATTGACTTTAATTACCACATGTGAAGTTCAATTCAATCATGTTTCTCAACATAAATATATATATATATATATATATATATATATATATATATATATATATATATATATATATATATATATATATATATATATATATACTTCATAGTTGTTTGGTATAAATAGATTCTATCAACATTCACACAGTAAATGACATATATGCAAGAATAAGATAGTCATATAGCATATTCTATGACCTGACAAGTTAATGAATCATAATACTCGTATAATTGAAATTTAAATATTTCATGCTCACTCAAACTATTTACTAATATGCAAATAAAATAAAATTATAAGCAAAATAAATTCAAAAGTCAAAAGTAATAAAGTATCAAGAGGATTATACGTTGGCTATAATTAAGCAGATCATATCAAAAAGTATTTTTCTAATATCTTTAATATTATATACATATGATCAAAGACATACATACTACATCTAAGTTTTATGCATCAAAAATCTCAACTATTATAAAAATATATTGATATGTCGTAACAAAGTATGTCGCAAACCGTAATACACAAAATAAAAGAACCATGGTAATAAATTAATAAATTAAAACAATAAACGAAACAATTAACCGTAATATATGGTAGTAAATCTCAACCCATGTGATACCAAATAATTAACAAATAAAAGATGTAATTTAGCACAACAAAACAAAAAAAAAACCTAAATTTCATGATTGTAATCAACGCATGATAAAATAATGATAATTGTAACCAACTCATGCAATATTTATCCTTGATAAAATAGTAGCAAATTGTAATCTTACCAAATAAGCTATTAGAACAAAATAGCTTAATCAATACAAAGTGAAGCTTACCTCAGTCAACGGGAAAAAAAAAATAATGTGTACGAAGTAGTGTATATTTCGTCAGTAACTCGGTTAATTGAGGTTGATGCAACAAGCCAACAATATGATCCTCCTTGTTATATTGTTTGATTAATGTTTTCTCCGATTACCGATAACTAAAGCAATAGTGCTGATAACGTATTATAAAATAAGGGGAAAAGGGAGAAGATTAGAGAGAGATGTAGATGGTAATTGTATTGTCTATCCTTTGATTTGTCCATGCTATATATATATACATAATGTAAGTATGTAACCTTCATGGAAATTAAGATTCCATTTAAGCGGGGGTTACAATAGAGGTAATTACATATGGGGGTTACAATGGGTGACATAATACTAGGGAGTTACAAATGATAATGAACATCCACATAGAATATATTTTGTAACATAATCATAATAATAATTATTATACTTATGCAATTGTAATTGTATTTGAGGCTATTAATTGGATGATATCTTTTAAAGATAATAAAGGTCTCTTGGTTGGGCCTAGTTATCTTTGATAGTATTAGTCCAGCCCAGCTAAAACAAAAGAAATTCGTTGAGTGGAAGGCCGAAACTTATAGTAAAGGTTATAAGGTATTGGTTGGGCCTACTTTTATGAATACAGCATTCGAAATGTTTGTTTTGAAATTGGAGACTTGGTGTGGAGCTCCTTATTACTACTCCCTCCGTTTTTAAATACTTGCTCCATTTTTTCATGCGCGGAATTTTAGGAAAAATTAAAAAAAGCAATAAAATATAGAGATAGTGGGGTTGGTGGAAGAATAAAAAATTATAAAAAGCAAAAGTAGTGGAGAAATTGGAGGGGAGAGAATATGAAATGAATAAAATATGATATTTGTTGGGCCCACTAGGTGGTAGAAATGAATTTAATATTGTAAAAACTTTCCAAATAAGGAAATGGAGTAAGTATTTAAAAAATGGCCGAAAAAGGAAAGTGGAGCAAGTATTTAAAAACGGATGGAGTAAAATATAAACTTTGTACAAATTTTTTCGCATAACTTTTCATTTGTTTAACACCTAAAATGTTACACAAACTTTTTAAAAAATCAAGTGTACAATAATTATTGTACATCCATTTTAAATCTCTCTTAAAGTGATTAAAAGTTACCCCTAAAATGAATAAAAGTTACCCTAATATGTATAAAAGTAACCCAATACAAATAAAAATAATCTATGTTTTATTGGTAAAGAATCACATTTTAAATGACTAAAATTTAATTATTAGTGATTGAAAGTAATTTTATCACCTTTATAAAACTTTTCTTGTTCGATTTATAAAAAAAATCATATTATGTTCAAAGTTACCCAAAAAAAAGGCAAAAAATTACCCTAAATTGACTTAAAGTTACCCCTATACTGCTCGATGTACACTAATATTAGTGTAAACCGGATGTATACAAAAGTTTTTGAAAATGTTGTGGTTTGTTTCATCATTTCATGTATTTGTGTAACACAGGATTGTATATATATACTACTATATATTTACAACTATTACAAAGACTTTCATTATAGCACAAGATAAGCACAGTTTAGTTGACATAAGATGACATGATCTTCATTGCATATTTTACTATTATTATGTACCTTGGCTACTGCATATCATAAGATGAGCGCAATTTAGATAGTTTAAGGCCTTATTCTTTTGAGCTTTTGGCTAGAGAAAAACAAATTTCAGCAGAGCAGAACATGTGTCAACAGAGCAGATTAAATCAGCAAAGCCAAATAGATATCAATATAGTAGATTAGCTCTAAAGAACAGGGCCCAAGTGTATACTAGAAAAGAGATGAGTAAGACTCTTGCCCATATTGCTCCATAACTTTTGAATTTATCGCATCTAATCTAGCTTAGGAGGCTAATTAGGGTTGCGTCACCCCCTGGCCCTCCATATAACTTTTGAATTTATCACATGTTAGGGGAGAAAGCTTAGAGGGCTAATTAGGGTTGCGTTCCCCCCAACCACTCCATATAACTTTTGAATTCATCGGATCTAAGGGCAGAGCTAGCTAAGGGGGCTAATTAGGTTTGCGTTTCCACCACCCCCGGCCCCTCCATAATTTTTGAATTTATCGCACCAAAGGGCATAGCTAGCAGAGGGTAATAAGGGTTGCATTTTGCCCCCCCCCCCCTCCACATTTCGTAAATGAATAAAGTAGTGGGATTTTATTGGTTTGGGACTTGTATAGCCTATCAAGAGTCTCAACCATGACTTACATTTTTCCACTATTTTAAATTAAATACGGAGTACAACTTTGATGTTTACTTTTTTCTCTCCCACAAATATTTTTGTCCCCATAATAAATTATATAATTTATCAACTCTGCACATTCATGCATATATTGAAACAAAAAACAAATATGAAGATTATATAATTTAAATTTAGCATGATTCTAATACTTAATGGTTGGATCTATTTTTCTTCTTGAACCTAACATGCATGTTGAAAAAATAATACACATGTATACTTAAAACGTTGAGAATTTAAAGAAGATTTGAAATAAATGATAAAAAAAAAATGAAACTAATTTAATCGGTAATTAGACTAAATTGAAAAAAAGTTGAAGGTAAATTAATTGGTAATAATTAGATTAATATATATAGTGCATCAAAACAATTGCTAGTTTAGGTAAAAATGCTTCTAGTACTCCATAATACTTAGCTTTAGTATACATGATCATAAGTAGTACCATTTCATTTCTATAGAAGTACTTACCGCCAAAATTATGATTTTCTTGTCTAAATTACAATTATTTTTCAAGTGAAAGAAAAATGGAGTGAACCCTTAAAGTTTTCTAAGTTAATAAAGCACTACTCCATTCATATATCCTCGGGTGTATAATAGACAAGCCCTCAAAAAGACGTATATATACTTTCCTGCCACTACATAAAAGTTCACCTCATGCGTACTCGTTGTAATGCTAAGTAAGCAACTATTCTATAGCCCACCAACATTAGTCCCAAGACACAAACATCCATCCATAAATGATTGAGGCCCATTGATTTTACAGCAGGAACATCAATAACTTTGCACCATTCCCATTTTCCCATCTTCAAGCAAGGGTAAGTATCATCTTCTTGGTATTGTACACCAAGGAGTAACTTGTAACAATAGTAGCTATAACTCAAGTACTTAAGCCACACAATGAAAGGAGGGATTTGTTGGACATAGTAGCCTCCGGCGATTAGGAACACTAGGGTTGTGACCGATGCCAAGGTGGTTGCCGGTTTGATGTCCATTAGTATTGCACCTATTGCAAGGCCTAGGCTTTGAGCAACCAAAACATTGTAAAGGACAACAATGAGAGAAAGAATAAAGATGATAGGGTTTGGCTTTAGTCCACCCATCCAATATATTATGAAGACAAAGGCGGTAGGTAGGGCTAGCTCCAAGGGTAAGTCTCCTATTGTTCTTGCTAGAAAGTATGAGGAGAGCTTGTACATTCCTGATGTGCGTTCCTTGATTAGCATTCTTCGTTCTTGTGGAAAGGTGAAAACCGCATTATATAAAGGGTAAAAACCCCAAAATACGGAAAAGAAGAAAATCAAAGCAACCTGCACAATATTGATAATATATATAGTCAGATAACAATATCAACCTAAATAATTACTACCTCTGTTAATTGTTATGTGTAACTTTGGGGTATTATTTGTAAGATATAAAATATTCTAAAGTTGCACATAACATTTACGGAGGTAGTATATACAGTTCATCTACGAACAATGAAAATGGTGCTCATAAACCTACATATGCTTAACACTGGTATGAGTCACATGATATTTATATATAGGTTTAAGAGCACTATGCTCGAAACTCTTGAGAAAGAGACACCCAGTTGCATAAAATAATTTTTGTAGAGAAAGGTAAATGAGAATCACCTTATCAAAAGTATAAATCATTTACCACTTTATATCTTAAACAACTTTCACTTCTAAGCTTACATAAAAGTAACTTTATCGTGCCCACTAGAAGTACATAAACTACATGGGCTTTTAGTACTGAGTAGTAAAAGATGAAAAATCTAAATCACATGCAATTCGTGGTGGAGGTTAAATCAAATCCATCAATAAGCCTAAAGTGACAATTAAATTGATGAAGAATAAAGTAAAGAAATAGCAAAACTAAATCTTTAGTGGTTAGTAAGGAGGTACGAGAATCAATATAAAGATAACAAATCTAATACTAAACGGGAATTTCATTAATTTTGAGTATTGCTTTAACTTGAATAAAATCTCCAATCTTAAAGTAAGATGCTATGTTTAATTTAATAATAAAATTCTTTGAATTGATTTTTATTATTACTTTATCAAATTCCGTACTCAGTATAGTTGTATTAAGTAAGGCATAATTAGTAGTTTGATTATCTTAAAAAGTAAATTAATAAAATTATTATCTTATAACTTTGCTGATAAGCTTCTTTATTAGAACACAATATTTAAAGTTGTAAATTAGCTAGACCACTAAGTTTTCTTTGTCCTATAGTTTCATAACAATACTAGTTTGTGGTACCTAAGTCCTAAGATGTGGCTGAAAGAAGTCTCTCTATATCAAACCCTAAATCTGCCATCTAAATTAAAGTCAGTAAGAGAGCTAGCCAACGAGGAGTTTTAAGACTCTAACTGTTAGAGTCATTTATGACTCTAACAAGGGTATAATCGTCCATTTACTTTTACCACACTTGAAAAAAATAATGTCATAACACATGTTGGTATTTCATTATACTTTAGATAGTATCACCATGATACCAATCACCTTATTCATTGATACCAGCGAACATAAAATTGTTTTGATGGTATCGATATAATTTGTTGTTGGTATCATGTGAAATACCAACGTGTGCTGTTAGAGTCATAAATGACTCTAACGGTTAGAGTCCTAGAATTCCTCCTAGCCAACTGCTCTAACTTAACCTCTTATATCGACTGAGTATCGAACAAACTCATGATCGTGATGTGTAATCTCTATAAACATGATATGGTACAAAATTTTACAAAAAAGGAATGAAAGAAAATGAAAGGTAGCTTACTCTATCTTCAATGTGGGATTCAGGGGTGTGCCACCAAAGGAGCCCACCAAGGGTGGCAACACTTAAGACCTGGAAGATTCTGAGCCTATTAAATGCTTCAAATCTCCTTTCTTTCATCCCTCTCTGTAGCAATACTTTGAATTGGTGCCACCAGCTTGTGCACCATTGTTCTCCTTTTCTGTCTTTCCCTAATTATCATAATAATTTGTGATTAGACAACACATAATTACAAATGCCTAATCAATATGATATGACATAATGTTATGTTAGTATACATATATACTCTCTTCCATAATAAAATAATATTTGTAAAATTTTGATTATATATTGCTATAAATAAATAATGATATCTTTCTGTTTTTTTTTGTTCTATATTTTTAATTGCTTTGCTCGTGATTTCATGTTCTACCTACCTTAACTATGTTTTTTTTGTCATATCACATTTACCGTCTTAACCCCGGCCCCCCTTCCACAAGAATTGCAACTACACACATTCTTTTATATTATTAATTTTTTTCTTAAGGTGAGTACAATGAGATATTTTTCATTGTTCATGACATGTAATTTATATTTACTAGCTCTAACTTCCTGCTTTCTAAGTATGTAAATAATTGGCTATTACAATATTACCTTAATTATTTGTGTCAGAAACATATACGTGTTCAAGTGTCAGTCTGGCAAATTCAATTATCTTATAAAGTAATAAACTCATAAATAAACACAGTTTAAAACGGAGAAGTGTGAACCCGACACGACAACACAAGTACTTAAGTGTAACTAAAAAAACATAGGGGAGTGCTAGCTATTATATTACTTCTTAATCATTATTATAATTATGCATGTCCATTATTAACTAATTCTTGAAAGGAATAATAAAAGTAGGTAAAGAAGTTATATACTTGTTGTGTTAGAGGCATCTTTCTTCCAACCGTAATTAGCCGTTTCCAAATTACAAAGTTCAGTCTTCAATCTTGTTGATATATTCTTTTCATAAGCAGAAATTAGAGCTTCTCTCACTTGTTTCTTTTCTTGCTCCATATTTTCACCTGTCTCCATTGCATGCTTGGACTCCGGCCCAATACCTAAAAAAAGTAAAACATAATTAATAAAGAAGAAAAGAAGATTAACTTTTAACACAACTTGTTAATATTGTAATTAGTACTTTTTATTTGATTTCTAGTACAATTATGACATGTCAAGCATTACTTAGACAATCTTGGTTGAAGTATAAAGTGAAGCAAGTAAAGGTGAAAAGGAAGTTTAAGACTTAGTCACCTTGAACTTAATCATGTTGCTTGTCTATACATGTTTAATTATATAACTAATTAAGGTTAATGAGAGATTATCATGATATATGTTAGCACATTATAAACCTTAGCACCAAACAATGGGTGGGGTCACCATTATATTATTTGAAGGTAAGTGGGCTAGTCCTAATTCTTTCTTCCACTTCCAAATTTATAAGTAAAGTTACAATGATGATAAATCATGATCACTCCCACCACTTTGAGGATAGTATAGTAGGCCATAAAGCTTACCCCAATCATAATATACAAGTACTATTATAATTATTGATTACCCTTTATTATCTAATATATCTACTTTAATTGTTAAGATTAGATGAGTGTAAATAAAATCTTAAAATATAATTTGTAACTAAAATTAACTTGATTTTTTAAGTTAAAATGTACAAAAGTTTATGTTGGCTTACCACTAGCGAGGTCTAGGAGAAGATCGGCAGGGTTAATTGTCAAGGATGTTGAAAATCCGACCGAATTGAAATATTCTAGAGCGGAGGAGGCAGACCCGTAATAAATAGGTCTGCCCTCGGATAGAAGTACCACCTTGTGGAACATGTGGTATAGGCGACTAGATGGTTGGTGGATCGTGGTGATTACAGTCCGTCCCCCCTCAGCCAGACCCTTAAGGGTGACCATGATACGTAAAGCTGTGGTTGAATCTAGGCCCGAAGTAGGCTCATCTAATAACATTAGACTTGGGTTAATCAACATCTCCTGACCTATGCTAACCCTCTTTTTTTCTCCTCCTGAGATACCCCTTACTAATGGGCCTCCAATCATACTATTTCTCACCCGACCCAGGCCCAACTCTGCTACCACGCGTTCCACCTGGCTCACTTTAACTTCGTGGGCCAGGGCGCTTGGTAGCCTTAATAGGGCTGTAAACAATAAGGTCTCAAATACTGTGAGGTGAGGGTATAGTACATCATCTTGAGCAACAAAGCCTGTACGTCTCTTTATTGAACCGGAGAAAGGTTGGCCGTTGTAGGTGATTTTACCACTTAGTAACTTGCCACCAATCCTTCCGCCGAGGGTGCTCAGTAGGGTGGTTTTACCGCTACCCGAAGGACCTAGCATGGCTAGGATCTCTCCCGGACATACCACGCCACTGACACCATTAAGGATGGTCTTTTCCTTGCATTTTTGACCTTGCAACTTTACCTTGTACATCACTTCCTCAAACTAAAAAAAGCAAGAAATTAAAGTAGGCTTGTTAGAAACTAACATTTAGTAGAAGTAATTATAAACACAACAAAGACATGCTAAACATACATACACAAACTATATCTATTTTTCACACGTAAGAAATTAAGAGAGGTTGTTTCCAATTGACCCGAAATAAGGATAGAAAGAAAAACCTTTAAAGCGATGGGGAAAACGGGTTCCAACATCGTGGGAAGATCTTGGAGGGTTGTATTATTGTTATTACAGCCGTTATTCTCCGGCTTTGGTGCTATGCAATTGAAGGGCATAAGTGATTTTCTTAGGATGATTTGTTCTAGTTGTTATTTAATTAATTTGGAGATTATTAGTGGAGGGAATAAGAGAATAAGAGAGAAAGAAAGAGTTTGAGAAGGTGTTTGTTAAAAAACAAGTTTGGTGTTGGATGTCCAAAGTGAGGAGAGGGACAAATGTAAGTATATATAGTGAGAAAATGAAAAAGGAGGCGCCAAGAGGACTGCTTTGTTAATTAGTTGGTTTTTGTTGTATGAGAGTTTATTGCTAAAGAGAGTGCCACTTAAGTTATGTTTATTCTAGCCTTGCTTATGGGTTCTAATTGGGTCCTTATTATGAGTCACGACAACCTTTTCGCATAATACTGTTTAAAGTAACAACAGATTGTTTAAATCAGGTTTGGCTCAACTTAGTTTGATTAACATATTAGTTAAGGTAAAAGTCATTTACTTCACTGCCATTTAAGGTAAGGATTTCACCAATTTAGTACAAATTTAAGTTAGATACGATTGTTCTTTTTTAAAAATTATTAATCAATATTTGTATTGTGATAGTTTTCAGTCATGGTCATAATCGGACTTTAAATTTTAGATGCAATTAAGGACTGAATCGAATAATTAGATCTGTTAATTAGATACGTGGGTCACTCCTAGTTGTACTACTAAACCTTTTTTTTTTTTTTTTGACAATAGCAGTACTACTAAACCCATTAGTTATAGTTAGTGATGAGATTGATCTCATTCCGATGTTAACTTTTGATATTAATTAAGTCACCCTAGGACCTTTTGCTTTTGCTAATTAGGTGCCAAAAAAAAAAAAAAAAAAAAAATCTTATTCATCACTATTTATTCAGTTTATCATCTAAATCGAATTTTCGGCCCCAAGAATACTTCTTTCTTTTTAGCCGAAAGGTTAATATTAGGCTAAATTATGTAACAATGTAAACATATTATTATTCCACATGATTATTAGAATCCACTAGATTTTTTATCTTAATCAATTAATAGTGATAAGTTTATCTCTCTTTATTTTGCTATCTTTCCTTGATCAATCACTCTACCACCTTTTGCATGCCTCTAATTCTTTGTCTCAGAATATTCTTTTGTTCACTCTTCCATTATATTCTTCAGTCTATGTCAAAATTTTCAGCCTCGTGTTTCAAAGATAGGTTATTGTTAAAGTTAAACCAATGCGTGTGAATGGTGTGATGTACAAGAGCATACAATGAATATCCATTGTAGTACTACTAGCTAGAAATTGATTTTTATGTAGATAATATGTATAGTTGGAATGCTATTGTCAAAAAATTCATGGGAAGTTATTAGATTCTTTATTCATGGCTATGTTTCGGATTCGAGTCAAGATTTGTGATTAAGGGGAGTTATGGACCATGAGAGTTGAAAAAGTTAGAAGCAAGGTTTGAACCATTGATCAGACGAACATGTGGAATCATTTAAATCTTATTCTTTTCAACTTAAGAAAATCAATAATATAATATCTTGTATTTTTTTTAATGTGTGATTAATTCCGATTTTAATGATTAAATTGGATAACAATGTAAATTAACAAAATATAAGAGACATAATAATGAATTAGTAAAAATAAGATTAACTTGAGGCTAGCAAGGCCTTAAAGTTGTTTGGTATCAAGCTCCATAAGAAGGCTCAAAAATCTCGAGAAAAACCTTATATATGATGGTACACACATGACACATCTATGTACAAAACATATTTGGGTGAGACACCATCATTTTAGCGTAGTGGTCCATATTAGTTATCAATATGTTTTATACAAGTTACATCGAATAGGAGTACGTATGTTTGTGATCATGACATATATGGATTTATTGAGAGGTAACTTATTACAGGTCTAACAAACTTAAGTCTTTAATGACTAATAATAATTCTCATTGTTATTAAGTCGTATTTAGATAGTATTATCTTAATACCAATAAAAAAGTACTACCTCTGGTTTTATTTTGTTGACACGTTTTGACTTTAGCACTATATTCGCAAATTTCCGTTTGACCGTTTTTGTGCTTTATACGTAATGAAAAATATAGTCATGTAAGATCTTGTTAGATTCGTCACGATATATATTTTCAAAATATAACCTTTTCATAATTTTGCTTATCGGTAATTAAATATATTAATTGTTGAATTTATACATTGACAAACGTGACTAAAGAAACGTGTCAACTAAAAAGAAACGGAGGAAATATATCGGTACGAATAGATATTATTTGGTGAAAATTCAAAAGAATAAGTGTTATATTGAACTGCTTAGGATCTTTTGATAGTTGTTTAAACTTGTACTTATTCTTAGAATGCACAGAAGATGCATAATATCAGTACTCAGTAATTTGCGTGGGTAATGTACTTAATATGAATGCAAGTTGGTAAGGTGTACTTTGTGATGAAAACATCATGGTGGATGTACCTTATATGGTTTGTAGGAGTCACTTATATATGGTGTGGGTTCAAGATAACATTAAGATCCTTTGTAATCACATCAGTCGAGCCAGCTACGAAAATTATGTGTTTATTAATCAAATTTTTATACTTCGTATTACGTTTGAGCTTAAACTATGTGTTTTTCCTACTTCATGGAAAGTCACACTATTACAAGGAGTAAGAGTTTGTTCACTTTACCTTAATTTTAGTTCATTTTAGTTCAGTTAAGCTCCAATCAATTCATTTCATTTCAGCTCATAATTTTCATCTCTCATAAAATATTCATTTGATCTCAATTCAGTTCAGTTCAACTCAATTCAGTAAATGTGAACATATCCTAATTGATGCAAACATATAATTATTGGCCCGGCGGTATCAACTTTTGAAATCACCAGCTCCAATCCCAAGTAAACCTTACCGACGAAAAAAAAAATTGGTTTCCACAAAGTCATCAAGTATCTACTCTTAAATGCAAAGGAGGTATCTTTAAAGAATATAAACTCCATCTATTAAAATTCTAATTTGAGATTTGATTTGATAATCTTATACACTTCTTCACAAAATATTCTCCTTCCCCTAGTTTAGAATCTTGCCCACTTACTTAATTAAGCCAATTCAAGTATTAATTCGACCGACCATGAGTTGGAAGAAATTTACATGTTAAAGAAAATCATCTATAGAAAAAATTATGAATTTAAATTAATTTAATTTCGAAATAGGTGGCTATATGAATAGAGAATAAAGAGTAGAGACACTTTTAAGATTAAGTGTTGTATATATTTTTATAATTTGGCAAAATGATTCCTATTTTGCAAGTGGCGTTTTAATTAAGCTTTACATATACACCTCCCCACCAAGTTTTGTCCAAATGGAATCCCTAGATTTTACTATAATTTTTATTTCACTTTTTTTCTCTAGACTCATTTACTAAAGTAATTAAACTAATTTATTAAAACTAAAAAGTATTTAAATTAGTCAATGGGGGAAGGTATATTTGGCCCTAGTTTCATTTTTATAATTAATCTCATATACCCACACGTACATAGAATTAGCATCTTAGTTAAATAAAAATATAATATTTTTAGTACTCCTCCTCTCTTAAAATTAAATTGCAGTCACAATATACCTGATACTTTAATTAGACGACTCTCATATTCTCTAATTCATTCAGTTAGTTTTTTTTTTTTTTTTTTTTTTTTTTTTTTTTTTTTTTTTTTTTTTTTTTTTTTACTGAATTGAAATCAATTTTTATTGAGTATGATTAGTTGAAAGATGTTAATTTGCGTAGATCTAAACTATTTTCGGTTTGGGTTAAGGTTGTCCTATTTCGCTTAAGTCTACAAGAATTAAAACCAATTCAATCATAAACCAACTCTAAGCTAGTTTGAACATCAATCAACTAAGCTAGAAGCATAAATTTAACATGGCTCATTGATTATTTAATAGCCATGTCAATTTGGAGGAGATGTATAACTTTTATTAATCGTGAGGAAGAAAATAATACAAAATTTGGCTAAGTTAAGAAATTGAAAATTTATATATTATTTCAAATTAGGTAAAAAATTATTAGTCTAAACAAATATTGTAAAGTGAGAGATAGCTCAACTGGTTAGAGTTCTCCTCCTGGTTCTAGCTTCTAGGTGATCTTAGGATCGATTTTCAACACCAGCTTGAGGCTCTCTAAACACCCAAAAAAAAAAAAAATATAACCTGATATAGTATGAACATATTAGATGATTTAGGTCACTCGAAACAACTTATCTATGACAATTAATTTCGAACGAAAAGGGTACATTAGTTCAACTTATAGAAGAAAAAAAATGTAATTGATTGAATATAAAGGAAAGCGAAAGTAAGTCTAATGCCTTTTTGTCATCATAAGAACGCCAAAATGATTCTTGTATAGTCGAGCACTAGAGGAATTTAACTATAAATGTGAGTGGTTTCTTCCTAATCCTACTAGTAAACTTTCAACATTCGTATCTTCGAAATTCGATATCATTGCTAAATGCTTGATTATTGCCTTTGCCTGCCCTTTCTTTTCTTCTCTTTTTAAACTTTTATCATAACCCTTTTCATAGAGTGCATGTTTTCGTAATTACCAGTATGTATGATATTTGTTTATTTAGTTAATAATGTGAAGAAATATAATGGTAGAGTATAAAACAACTTTCTAGGCCTTAAACATCAGTTTAAGCTTTTGGTTGAGATGATCCTCTAACATGGTATCCGAGCCAGCGTGACACAAAGGTCACGGGTTCGAATCTCATCCGCCCCGGCCTCCTTCAAAGTGAAATTAATTCGCACTAAGTACGGGTGAGCCTGTGTTGATTCCACACGAAATTACTGTCCACGTAGGCTCGGATAAGTTTTTATTTTATTTTTTTATTTTTCAAAGTAAAATCGCTACTTGAGGTAGCGGTTTTACCCTTCATAAATTGATTAAATGTATCTTTACTTAGAGTACTAATGACAAACCGCTACCTCAAGTAGCGGTTTTAGACTATAACCGCTACCTTAGGTAGCGGTTTGTCTCTAAAGAAAAAAATTACCCCCAAATGTATCTCCAAGCCTACGTGGACTATATTTTCGTAAATAAGCTTCATTCCAATGCAAAATCGTAAATAAGTTTCTTAAAAGCTATATTTTTGTAAATCATCCGATGTTTCTCTCATGTATATGATTGAAAGTGACGTAAGTAACTTCTTCTATTTTGTGTCAAGTTTTTTTTTTAGTTTCTGCAATTTCTGGCTCTTTTGAAGAATTTTAATTTAATGCCAATTACTAAAGATAATTATTTTTTTGTGTACAATGTACTACATAGA